TAAATTTTGATAGAATTTCTCCTAATATATGAATATTTTTCTATATTTGTTTAAACTTAATATAACAAATTTTTTCGGCAGAATCTTTCCTAATATATTAATATTTCTTTACATTTGTTTACACGTACTTAATACAAAAATTTAAATTTTTCTTACACATAATCTATATATTATATAACAATCTATTAATTAATGCATAAAAAACATACATATTACAATCCTAAACCGTTCTAGAGCACATCTCCTTGTAACTCCACAACATGCATATTCTACAAACTTCACAAACACAAACAATCCCATAGCACACAATAATTAAGTTTAGAGAAGGACCTCTACGCCCTTCTCCCTAGTCATACAATCTCCAATCCTACAATTCTATCTTAAAAAATTTAAGTCTCTAAAATACATCAAAAATAAAAAACTAAACTGATTCAAAGTTAGAGTATCATACCAGGAACACAATATCACAAAAGCCAAACAACTAAGCTCCTAGAGAGAGAGAGACAGAGAGAGGCGAGAGAGAAAGAGAGATTTATGAAAAATGAGGAAGGCGAAGGAGAGGCGCAGTTTTATGGGTTTTAGACATTACAGACAAAAAAATCTGTCTGTAAATGTTTAATGAAACAGTGCGTTTTAAAGGTCCATTTACAGACAGATTTTTTTGTCTGTAAATTCGTCAATTCTATTTACAGATAGAAAAATCTGTCTGTAAATAGCCACATGAAAAGTCGGTTAAACAGTGTCATATTTACAGACAAAAAAATTCGTCTATAACTTCCGCTTCAAATTTTCCTCCCATTTTCAAATTACAGACAAAAAAATCCATCTGTAATTCTTGTCTATATTTTTTCGCGCCAAATGGCGGGCAAACTACAGATGAATATTACAGATGAATTTTTATCCGTCTGTAATACAGATGGATTTATAGACGGATTTTGCAGAAATTACAAAAAAAATAATAATTACAAATCTGTCTGTAAATGGCGCTTTTCTAGTAGTGTGTAAGATATATGACAGCAAAAAGCAAGAGATTGGCCAAGTAAAGATGAAGAAAAGAAATCGAAGTTTCCAACAAGCTTTCAATGAGGCGCTAACATTGTCATGAAAACAGAAGTTGATACTTCATAACTTTGGCATTGAAGATTTGGGCACTTCAACACTCATGCCTTAACACTGCTACATCAAAAGAATATGATGAAGGATCTTCCATGTCTTGAAGAAAATAATGAAGCTTGTGCAAGATGTCTCCTTGGCAAGCAACATTGACTGTCATTTTCTGTTGGGAAAGCTTGGAGAGCAAAAGACTTATTGAAGATTGTTCATATAGATATTTGCGAACAAATGCAGACACCATCACTTCATAAAAACATGTATTTTATCCTTTTCGTCGATGATTTTTCTAGAATGACTTGGGTCTATTTCATCAAAGCAAAGTTAGAAGTCTTTGGAATATTCAAGAAGTTTAAGGCTCTTGTCGAGAAGCAAAGTAATAAACAAATAAAAGTATTAAGAAGTGATCATGGCAAAGAGTATACCTCTCAAGAGTTTGATAAATTCTGTGAGGATAAAGACATTCAGCGACAACTTACCGTCGCATATACTCTGCAACAAAATGGAGTAGCTGAGAGGAAAAATTACACGGTAATAGAGATGGCTAGATCCATGCTAAAAGAGAAAGAATTGTCAAATACCTTCTGGGCTGAAGTAGTTTATACTACTGTCTATATACTTAACAAATGTCCAACTAAGGTTGTCTAAGATAAAACTCCAATTGAAGCTTGGAGTGGGCAAAAACTATTAGCAAAACATCTAAGATTTTTTGGATCAATTTGCTACATATACATTCAAGAAGAGAAGAGACACAAACTAGAAGACAAAACTGTACGAGGTATGTTCTTGGGGTATAGTACACAGTCAAAAGGATATCGAGTCTACAACTTGCAAACCAAGAAACTTACTATTAGTCGAGATATTGAAGTTGAAGAAAATGTTGCTTAGAATTGGAAAGATGAAAAGGTTCAGAAAAATGTTTTCATACCAATGCAGCAATCTCAAGAAATTGAAGAAGTCTCGGGTGAGAGTTTTTCACCTCCACAACAACAAAATTCCTTACCAGAGTTTACTCCAAGACGAGTTAGATCTTTAGTGTATATATACGAAACTTGTAACTTGGTCATAACTGAACCTGAGAGCTTTGAAACAGCGTCAAAACAAGAAGTATGGGTAAAGACAATGGTAGAAGAGATAAAAATAATTAAAAAAATAATAAGTGGGAGCTAGTAGATTGCCCCACAGATAAAAATATCATTGGGGGTAAAATGGATCTATAAACTAAGCTTAATCCCGATGGCACCATACAAAAGTACAAGACAAGACTGGTAGCAAAAGGATACTCACAACAATTTGGAGTTGATTACAATGAGACATTTGTTCCAGTTGCTTGCCTAGACACTATAAGAACTCTAATTGCTCTTACCGCACAAAAAGGATGAAATATTTACCAACTCGATGTAAAATCTGTCTTTTTCAATGACATTCTTCAATAAGAGATTTATGTGGAGCAACCATAAGGCTTCGTTAGCAAATGTAATGAAGGCAAAGTACTAAGACTAAAAAAGGTTCTATATGGATTGAAGCAAGCTCTACAAGCATGGTACGACAAAATCGATCAATACTTTACAGACCATAGATTCAGGAGGAGCAAAAGCGAGGCAGCTTTATACACCAAGATCCAAGGTCAGTATGACATACTCATTATCTCCTTGTATGTAAATGATCTTATCTACACAGAAAACAATGTAGAGATGATAGTTAAGTTCAAAGAAGATATGATGAAGGCCTTCGAAATAACCTACCTTGGCTTGATGAACTACTTCCTTAGAATAAAGGTAAAACAAAAGAAAGAAGAAATATTTATCTCACAGAAGAAATATGTTGAAGCACTACTCAAGAAATTTAAGATGAATGGATGTAAGACGGTTAACACTTCATTGGTGACAAATGAGAAATTAAAGAAAAATGATGGAGCACCAGAAGCTGATGCATCACGTTACAGAAGTTTGATTGAAAACTTACTATATCTCACAGCTACACGACCAGACATAATGTATGCTTCATGCAAGGTCCAAGCCAAATTTATTTTGGAACAATTAAAAGAATCCTAAGATATTTACAAGGCACAAAGGCGTATGGTATATGGTACCAAACTATAAGCAACTCAAAGCTACTTGGCTACACCGACAGTGATTGGGCAGAATCAATCGATGACATAAAGAGCACATCTAGTTATGCTTTTTCACTAGGATTATAAACAATCTCATGGGCTTCAAATAAGCAAGCAATAGTTGCACAATCAACAACAGAAGCAGAATATGTGACAGCTATTGAGATTACAAGTAAAGTAATATGGTTACGAAGAATACTTGAATAAATCAGAGAAAAACAAAACGAGCCTACTACAATCTACTACGACAACAAATCAGCTATAGCAATGCCAAAGAATCTAGTGCATCATAGTAGAACAAAACACATAGTAATCAAATATCATTTCATCAGGGAAGTAGAAGGAACTAAAGAAATCAAGCTCGAGTACTGCACAACTAAAGATCAAATTGCAGACATTTTCACTAAAGCACTATTAAGGCCAAAATTTGAACAGCTACGCACAATGCTTAGAGTTACAGAAATTTGCATCAAGGAGGAGTATTAGAAATTGATACAAAATTTTAGAATAGTCTAGAAAAATACTAGGAATAACCTAGGAAAAATTATTTTGATCTTTTAGTTTCAAGACACTTCTAAAGGTAGTTTTAGAATATTGTAAATTTTCAAGATTCTAGATAATTCTAGTATATTGAACCACCCAAACCTAATGGTGGATGATGCCTATAAATAGGTATGCTACCTCATTGTAAAAGACAAGAAGAAGTAATCAAACTATCAATTCTTCATATCTTGAGTCTCTTACTAAAACTTTTTCAACTTTTAACTATTTCTACTAACATTTCAATTATCTTACTCATCTTACATACACTAAAAACTATCATATAGAACTTCTTTTCCTTTTTTTAGCTTTGCTATAATTTTATGTTTGATGGATCGTATTATACAATGAACCATTCCAAAAATTTGACCTTATATGTTTTCCTTAAGCAGCCTTGGTAACTACTTTCAATCTTGAGATTGGAATAGATGGTGATTCAAGAAGTGGAGTAGCTTGAGTGTGTGGTTGCTTGTCTTTATTTTAGCTATCACAAGAGACACAATAGCTATTATTGAAAATATTGAACTACAATATTCACTTCAAGATACTGTAAAATATTTTTAGAATATAACATGCTTTATAAGAGATTAAACAAATAAAATAGCTCAAAAATAAAATTTTTAACCTACTATATTTTTAAAATTAGAAGAGAAAATGTCTAAAAAAAAATCATAGATCCTCTTTTTAAAATATTTTAATACATATGATTAAGCACGGTTATTTCTTTCAGTTTAATAGTCTTTTTATATGTAGTAAAAATATTAAAAAAATAATTTTTATTAAAATTATAATATTTAATGCTATTAAGATATTAAATATCACGATATTTTATTATTTTGAATAAAAATTTATTTAATTTGTTATATATATTAACGTTAAATTTGAAAAAAAAAGTGCAAAATTATATTGAATAAAAATCATTTATAATAATAAACTTTCATAGAAAAATAATATCTAACGTTGTTAATGCATTAAATTACATCAAAATTACATAATTTTGAATAAAAAATTTTCAATTTTTCTATTTTTCGCAAACTTTAAAAAAGTTTGCTTAATTAGAAAAAAAAAAGTGTGTAAATTTATTTACATTTTAATGATGGTGAAGAACTTTATTTTAAGCTATTAGTATTAGGAGGGGCTTTTGTGCCTTTGGATTGGGTTTATACGATTTTGGGTTACCAAATACACAGTGAGTGAGTTATCACGTCACAGTCTCCTACCGATTCACTTTGGTGTTCTCGGCACGCCAAGTACGCACAACAGTGTTCGTTACTGTCTCGTTACTTCAACAGATTTCATTCTGTGCAGAGAGAAGAGAAAATGGCGGCAATGGCGGTTCACCAATTCGCACAATGCATCACTTGCCACGCATGGAGCCCCGATCAATCCAGTAATTTCTCTCTCTCTCTCTCTCTCTCTCTCTCCAAAATCTGTTACTGTTTCCAGTTTCCACAGAACACGATTTAGAGATTACGGAGTGAATACGCCTTTTGCGTTTTCTTTTACGAATTTTAGGAATTTCGGTTCGACGGTGGTTTCAATTTTTGTTGATGGATTTTGGAGTTTTAATTTTTTGTAGATGCGGTTTTTGTTTGGTTGGATCTGTTCTGGCTTTTCTTCTCTGCATTTTAACCTTTTCATTTGAAATTGAACAAAGGTTATGTGTCAAGTACCGATGTTTGCTGCTTTTGAATTATGTAGCGTTTGGATACCTGAAACATGTGCGTTTGGTTTGATTATATTGACAATCATTTTGAGTAATTTCGTTTTCCTTTTAAATCTAATTTGAACGCATTTGAATGCATTTGAATGTTGACAAACAAATATGGTGTTGTTGGGAGAATGTTATTATATTACTTACTTAAGGTGGGAAAAGTAGATGTAGTTAAATTATTGAAGAATTTGAGTGAGATAAAAGTAGTAGAACTTATGGACCTAAAGCAGAGTGTAGGCTGATGTTAGTATGGGGGGAGGGGGAGAAGTTGGAGGTTTAAGTGACGAGATTTTTCCCCTTTGTTTGGATGTTTGGAATCCTCCGAATTGGGGCGACTTAAAGATGTTCATAGCGGGGGAGTTTTGGAGGTTCACTTGATAAACCCTCTTTTTCTTTCCCTTGTTTTGTAAACTCCCAAGCAAGAGGACGGTTACTTTGAACCTTCCCTTCCGCTGTTATCTCATTCATCCAAACATATTGAGCTCATATATTTATCTGAGAAGGAATGAAGGACTACATTAATTGTTATACATCTCAAATATTTTTTCTTTCTTATCCCCAACTCCTTGACAAACATTTATTGAAAATCCACTTCAATGGCAAACCTAGGTCGAGCTTTTTGTCACACATATTGGCCTTGATTGTTGTTGATTTTGATTTGCAAAATTATAGGTCATATTATGTGATATTTAGTTGCTTATTGGTCATGTATTAATATTAGGATTTTTTAAGTTGATGTTTTGGGACCAAATTGATGACTCTGCCTCAAGACATAATTGTGTAAAGCTCATCTTACATTGGAAATGATTTAGATTTTTCAATTTTTCTCAATTATATCATCTTCATGTTTTACTGTTTTGTGAATATCATACTAAAATTTGAACAATTCATGTATCATATTACATGCTTAAGATAAAAATACTGTTTTTGGGACATACTATAACAAAACTATTTTTTGTTGTCTTTAAGGCATATTATTGCAGCTTTTGATTAATTCTTCAAATATTATAATCTACTTATCTCCTTTTGTAGTGGTTGCTTTATGTCCAAACAATAATGAAGTGCACATCTATAGATTGGTTGAAGACAAATGGGAGAAGGTGTATGTTCTTCAAAAGGTACTCTTCTGATATTATTCCTCTTTTCTCGATTAAAATGATGTTATGAATTCTATGCTCTTGTTTATCTTCTGGTTGTGATCACAGTTAGAAGATATTTAAACTAATACTTTTGGTGCTTATAAAATTAATCAAGATTGTCAGAAGTGATTGGACAGGCAGTAAGAATGAATTTAAGTTGTTTTCTTTCTGGAATAAGTTGTATTATATTTTTAGTATTTAGATCATACTGTTCTATGAACTACTATCTGAGTCTTGTAGCATTTGATTCTTTGGCCATGAAATCAAGTACTTGTGGTGATCAACCTATGAAGTTGCAGAGGGCTATTAGTTATTGATGTATCCACCAATGCTTGCTTGTCTTTGGTGTACTTAATTGTTCCTTTTCACAATTAGGGACTGTAGCTATGAATACCTAAAGAATTGAGAAATGTATGAGAGATTTCCCTGTCCTTTATTAATTGTTACCTTTTGACTGTATACACTTTCTGTAGTGTAGTCAAATCTTCTTTTGTGGTCTAGGTTCTACTACTATCATTGATTGCAATAATTACCTAAAGAGAAGCTAATGAAGGATTTTCCTGTCTCTTTCAATCATTATCTTTTGGCTGTCATATGCTATGAGTAAAGGCCTGATTTTGACAACCTTGATGCCTGAATGTCATGATTGATTTTTGTTAATGCATTTCTGTTTGTAATGGATTAACTAATTTGGTTGGAGACATTGTAATTTGTAAATAGTGTCTAAATAATTTCTTGCCTTTTTCACAGCATGACCAGGTAATTTCTGGGATAGACTGGAGTGCAAGATCAAATAGGATAGTTACTGCATCCCATGATCGGAATTCGTGAGTGCCTGTGTGGTTTAGAACTTTAGACTTGTCACCCTAGGTCTTGGGTGACTTTTAGCATTGCCTCTATCTTTTCTATACATATAATTGATAACAAATTAAAAATCCAAACCATGCATTCTCTATAGATATGTCTGGAACCTTGAAGGATCAGAATGGGTGCCAACTCTTGTTATCCTTAGACTAAACCGTGCTGCCCTTTGTGTTGAATGGAGTCCAAAAGGTATGAAGCTTGTTGCCATGTTTTAGTTCTATGCTTCTCTTCTTATCTGAGGATATGCTTTTTAGCTTGGGCAAATAGTTATTCTGACAGCTATAATTGTGCCAGATAAACATAATTTTGGTGTCCGAGTCATCTCAATTTATGAGTGGCTTGGTTTATACAAATAAAATATGTTACAATTTAACTCAATAAAAACTTTGTTGTCTCTATTCTCCCATTCTTTGTTGGATATAAAGTGATTTAGTGAATTATAATTTATTTTCATTTTTCTGTGTGCATTGCATGGGATTAAATACTAGTTTAAAGAAAATATGTAATAGCAAAATCTCTGTTTCCTTCACTACCCTCTGCACTGTTACAATATACTTAGTGCCTTTGTTGGAAGGTGTAACCATGGCTAAGAGGATGCCAGAACCTAACTCTAGTTATGCCCTTGTCATGCTTTTCTGGTGCATTTTTATATTTTATCAAATTTTTACTGGCCCAAGTCTTTTAAGTCTTGGTGTAAGATTAATGTCAGAGGTTTTATCCTCCATTAGGCCACTTTTTGGCTTCCCATTCCAGGTTCTTGCACCTCCTATGTAATATCATTTTGTTTTTATTTTGGTTTTCCAGAATAATTGGCTAAATACTTTACTTCCTGTTTATTATTCTATGAATTATTATTATTGTTGTTGTTTTTAAAATTTATGTGGTTCTAATGCATTTCTAAATTCTGTTTTGGCAGAAAACAAATTTGCTGTGGGAAGTGGAGCCAAAACTGTTTGTATATGCTACTATGAGCAAGAGAACAACTGGTCTTTCAGCATTTCCTTGAACTTTATTTTCCAAGTTCATTTGCATATTGTTGGTATAATGGTTATGGGTACTTTTTTTCTGTTTGTGTTCTGGATCCACCTTAGATCTACTTAGACCATAGTTTGAGGATGCTAAGATGTTTCACATTAGTGAGGAATATAGTCAGAATACTTATAAGCTTTTGACAATTTTCTCCCCTTGAGCTAGCTTTTGGGTTGAGTTAGGTTTGGTTCATTTCTATTGGAGAGTATGCTGTTTGAAGAAGGTGTGCTTTACAGTTTAGACAATAGTATGCTGAGTCAAATAACCTAATGTATAGGATTATTTTTAATTGATTTACAAGGCATCTAGTGCCACACAACATAATATAATCTTCTTAACATGTTCATAAATGTTGAGCTTGAATCTTATTGATAATGGTTAACAGTTCGAATTTTTGAGGTATGACCAACAAATATCTTTATTTTTGTATTTGAAAAAATATTAAGTATGTTGAGATTGAGTAGATAATATTCAACATTAACAATCTTTCCTTACAAAATTGAAACATGGATGTTTCTTGAGGTTTACGAAATATCAATATAATATTCCTGCATAACATTGCTATTCCTTATCAAGTTTAAGTGTAGTCATTATGATCATGTCGAGAATGTGACAAAAGAAAATAGAGATGAGAAATTGACGAAGCAGATCTTATGCAGAAACCAATTGATTATTTAGATCACGACAAATTTCATGAAAAAATTAACAATGAAGCCAGGATTATGAGATTATCAAAATCCATATGTTATATATGATGACACTAATTTCACTTGGCTGATGTGATTCATTGTTTATGGCTTTTGAGACTTATGTTACCTTAGATCATTTGAGACTCTTGCTTATTTAAGACATGCCATGCCAGTTTAATTGTTAGGTTTTTGAGTCTTCTGTTGGTTTATTTAAGACTTGTTATGTTACTTTTTGGTTCATTGATTGGAGACATTAGTTTTTTGAGACTTGTTTAAATTTATTCAAGGCTTGTTATGCTACTCTGTAGTTAATTTGGGATTTATTTTGATTTTTGTTAGACTTGTTATGACTTATGTGTAATGAATTTTCCATTTTGTATCAGAGCATTATTTTAGCATGTGAAAATTTATTATTGATATGACAAACCCATGGGTTCACTTATGAGTGGGTTGGGTTGGATCAAGTTTGAAGGAGAAAAGTATTTCCCTAGCCTTGGCCCAATTTTCTGCTTTCATGAACAGGTTGGGTCTTAAAATATTGTAAACCTAACTAAACCGTTGGACATCCATAGTTGATATGATTGGAACATTAAGTTTAAAATTTCAAAATAATGCATGTATTTTTCTTTTCTTTTTATTGTTTATCTTATATATTTGTATTGACTTTTCAGGTGGGTCAGCAAACTTATCAGGAAGAGACATGATTCTTCAGTGACTAGTGTTTCTTGGCATCCAGATAATGTTAGTCTGACATTTTCAGAAACACACACACATTCCAAGTGTTTTGTATTATTTTATAATAGTTAGTAAAAGCCTCTTTTGTCCTTGCTTGGCTTGCTGAAAAGTTCTCTGAAATGATTGACATTTTTTTTATGGCTAGTAAAGAATGAAATTTTCTTTACTTGGTAGATTTTTATTCCTCAATATTTTAAATATTTATTGATCCCCTTTTTATTCTCTAAATTCTTGTTTCCTTTATTATTTCAACCAAACAAGGTGTTGGTTTGTTAACTTATTTTATTTTCACAATCAAATGATAGATATAATTGTTCTTTGAAATATATTTGTCATGTGATATAAAAACTCCCATGCCTAGCATCTTTGTTTCTTTTTTTTTCCTACTGCAGATTCTTCTTGCTACAACATCCACAGATGGGAAATGCCGAGTATTCTCCACCTTTATTAAAGGTGTAGATGCAAAGTATGATATAAACAACTCTGAATGTGGTTGGCTTTTACTGTTTAATCTTTTATGATGTTATATCATTGAAGTTTAAATATTAAATTGGCACAGGGATTCAAAAAAGGGTACTTCGTCAGATTCGAAATTTGGAGAGGTTCAATTTTAATTCTTATTCCTGATGTGAAAAGTTTTATATTTTCTTATGCTTGAGTATATATTTGTCAAGATGGACCTGTTTGTTGATACTCAACTTTGTAAAAGATAACCCTGCTATTTAGAAGGCTGATGCAATGCAAAGAAATTATCCTTTCAAGTTTAATCGACTCTAGATGCCCCTTGCCGCTATTCTCTCCAGAATACATGTTCTTTGTTTTATGTGTGATTAGGTTGTCACTTGTCAGATGGAGTTGTGGCTAATGGTATTGAAGTAGTTATTGTTAAGATGTCCTATATTAGTTAGGAATAAAGCCATTATACTCTTTATAAGGGCTAGAGTAGTCCTCCTCCTAAGATCTAATTTTTGGGAGTAAGTTAGGCCCAAGTTTTTTATCATGATATCAGAGCCTATCCAGTTTAAAATGTTGAGCTACTCATAGATGTCCAGTCCTATTGAGTTCCACTCGTGTAGATGTTCATTTCTGCAAATTTTATGCACTAGATGTCCAATCCTAGTTGTGAGGAGGGTGTGTTAAGATATCCCATTTTTGTTAAGAATAGAGCCAGTATACCCCTTATAAGGGCTAGAGTAGTCTTCCTCCTAAGAGCTAACTTTTGGAAGTGAGTTAGGCCTAAGTTTCTTAATAGTTATGATTAATCTTTGCATATAATGAATTTGCAAGCAAGTGCAGTAAATACAGCCCTTTTGGGCCCTGTTAAATATCCTATGGTTATCGTTGTTGATTGTAAAATTGAAACTGATATTTATTTTAAAAAATATTCATTGAAACATTGTTAAACTAACTGCATGGAGCATTTTTAGCATATTGATCAATGACTGAATGCTTTTGAAAGAATTAGAATAAGAACAAATTAAATAATGGTTTCTAACTAGTTTTCTTGCTAACAATTTGTGTTCTATCTCCCATAATTAGAAGAAAATAGTGAAGAGAAATGGAAAGACCTGTTGGGTCAATGTACCTTCTGCTTATAGTACTTTTATTGTCAACAGTTGATTGTCCAGCTTGATCTCTCATCATCTTGGACATTTGGCGTCAAGTGGTCACCAAGTGGCAATACTCTAGCTTATGTCGGTGAGCAAATTCTATAAATCATGGGAGCATTTGAAATCTTTGTATTGTATTTGGTCTGTGTTTTTTACTTGTGACCAACTGTATTTGTTGATATTATACAGGTCATAATTCTATGATATATTTTGTTGATGATGTTGGTCCTTCTCCATTGGCCCAAAATGTTTTGTTCCGTGATTTACCCCTACGTGATGTGGGTCAGCATCCACTCTAACTAACCATTTTGAGTTTCTCATGATCTTTTTTGCTGATAATTTACTGATATTTTCTGGAACTGTTGGATCATTGTATGACATCTTTTCAGGTATTATTTGTTTCTGAGAGAACAGTGATAGGTGTGGGATTTGATTGTAACCCAATGGTATTTGCTGCAGATGAAAGGGGAATTTGGTATGTGAAAATTCTGATATTTGTGTTTCTAAGATTGGCCTACTCAATGTGGCTGTGCCAACTTGAATGCAGTCTTTCTTTTTAAAAGCTACATATTATTGGGGCTTTTCATCCCTAAATTATTTTGCTTTTAATTCTTTTTACAGATGTGACTTTTTTGGTTACTCATTTGTTTTTCATTCTTTTTATTTTTAATGTTTTTTCCTCTAGGAGTTTTGTCAAATATCTTGGGGAACGAAAAGCAGTATCGTCTGGATCGAGATATGGCTCCCAGGTAACTACATTTCTTAAAAAGGATTCAATATTCAGCTATGAGAAAGTTGAATCTCCATCTGGAAATCAATCTCATTCACTTTGTGTCTAACATGGAAATACTGATGGAGTTGTGGCTGGCTAGCTAGCTGGATATAGAGCTAATTCCTAATCCTCCTACAGAAATAAAGAGAAATGTCAGAAAAAAGAATTGTCAGCTCAAGCGGACCATCCAGTCCATTTGGATGTCTAATGCAGAGGCTCTCATGATAACATTTGGCTGTACCCCACAAACTATTTAAAAAATATTTTTACCACCCAAGCTAGGTGGATAAGAATCTCTCTACCTGACAATATTTCAAAGAAAATGGATGTTTTAGAGAAAATGGGAAACTACAACTATTGGGGGATATGATATCCTCTAAAACAGAAAGCTTGAGCTCCGGCTGAAAATAGTAACATTCCAATGTAATTGTTACACAAAATAACTGAAAGGGCACATTTCTGTTGCATCTTTTCTCTTTTTAGTTTTGCAAATGCCAAAACGCTGGTGGTAAAGAAAATTTCCAAAGAAAATGATTTGATCTATTGTTGACTAAAATACCCGTACACCTGCCTAGCTACCCCATAATGTCAAAAGGACAATGATCAGCTTTATCTACACTTCAGTAGCACCTGACATGACTCAATTGGGGGTTAGCATTGTCTATACTTGAAACAAATCTGTACAGATTATCAATGTTAGTCCTATTTAGGACTCAAGTCCAATGAAATAATGCTGATTCTATCTTGCATGGCTAAGCACATTCGTGATGTGTATATTACTTGGCTTTTTTCATTTATGTCCATAATTTACTCACTGCTTGATGGTTTGTTTTTTTATGGGCTTAATTATACTTTTTGATCTCTTTTATTATGGCCAATATGTGATTTTAGTTCCTTTATTAGTTTTTTTACTTGGCCTTAGTCCTCAATCTTTAAAATGCTACAATCAAGTGTTTCAATTAGTTTTCTTCTACATAAAACTCTCAGATTCTTTATTTTTTTCTTTTTCACAAAATCTGCACAAACTAAACCTATTAACAACCATTTAAAACCTCTTCCATTCAAAATCGATCATTCAAAACATCATATTTAACCTTAAATTAGAAAATCCCAGATTTTCCCTTTGCAAATTAGGCTTAATTGTACTTTTAATTTTTCATATTTTAGTTTATATGTGATTTTAGTTCCTTTAATTCTAAATGCTGGCATTTAGTTTTTATAATTTTCCAGTTGTTAACATGAAGTCCTTTATGCCAAATTTTGTTCCATAGTTTACAATAATTTAACAGAGTGGTGACATTACATTAGTTTGTATATGAAATACTTAGATAAAAATAAAAAAAAAAAGCTCCAAAGTATTGGTTATGGACATTATTTATTTTTTATTCATCAATCTATGTAAATCTATGTTAGGTTACATGTCTTTTATACTTCTGCTAATTATTGAACAGAATTTAGGGTGAGGAACTTAATTTTAACAATTAAAAACTATAAGGAACAAATATGAACAATTAGAGTTAGAATTAGAATTAGAATTAAGGATAAAAAATCATGCATAAATTAAAGTATTTGGATGAAAAGTGCGATTAAACCTTCAAAGTATTAACCTCATACTTTACAAAATCTTTTAAGTTTCAATAGAAGTTAACTTTTTGAACCTTTTTAGTCAATTTTATCTCAAAACTGTCTAAGACTTCTACTTATTTGAGTAGGAAGTAAGAATGTAAGGGTTTGGGTAAAAGGAAACTGACGAAAGGACTTGATTGTAACAATTAAGACATTGAGGGACTAAAATCATAGATTGGTCATAATAGAGGGACCAAATGCAATCAGACCTTTGTCTTTTTTTCTAAAACCTATTTATGGTACTGCTGTTGAAATCTTTGACAGCTAAATCAAGCTTTAATAGATTGGCCCATTGTCAATGTTCATAGCTATTTCATTATTTCATGTGCATTTCTCTTTATGTTGTTAACTAGAGATTTATTCTTTATGTCCTTTAATCAGTTCTCTGAAGCATTTGGGAAGTTTTATGGCCAATCAAAGCATGGAGTGAGCAATGATGCAGTTGAAACTTCAAGAACACGTGGAGCTGTTCATGAAAACTGTATAAAGTATATATCTCTCCGTCCTGTCCTTTACGTTGTATATTTTCCTTATAAAATTCTTAGTTGTTTCAGTTATACAATTGTATATCAATTTCCATTGTTTTGTCCAATTTATCTTGCTCCCACCCAACTTAGCGTCCATATAAACTGTTAATGACTGGTATATATTGGGCTTGTAGTTGTATCATGCCTCTTGGGGATCATGGGACATTGATAAGGCGTTTCAGCACATCAGGTTAGTAAAGGGTGGATGATCATCGGAATTTTGTGATATTTTGTGCTGATAATTTTCTTTCCCAGTTTCAACTAGGCTGCTTTTGCTAATGTCTATCCTTGAAACTACAGGATTGGATGGAAGAATTGTTGTATGGGATTTGGAAAATGAGCAAGATCTGTTGGGATTATAAGCTCGTTGGATAATTGATTCTTGTTCGTGGTAAGGTTTCTGAAGGTGATTGTCGCACGCAGCATTATACCTTGTAGATTAATTTGGTTGTGAGCAATTGAAGTTATCTCCTATCATTATAATCAAGGCTTGAAAATGTCAGATATCAGACCGTAGATTATAGCTGTACCTGTATGATAATGCCCCCAGCTGTTGCGTTAAGTGCAATACTCACTTTAAAGATATAACAAATAATATTATGAAAGAGGAGCAACAGCTTTCGTCCTTTCTTTAGACAGTAATGAACACTACAGTGATTATCAACGTTTATGCGTAGTAGGTCTTATCATGTACGACAACACAGTTGCATGCTTATTAGAGTATATGGTTTGTTAAATTGTATGGTAAGAAATAGAAAAGTATGGTTCTAGCGATTGCATGATTCTGGTCCTGAGGTTTTCATAAATTGTTTTGGTCTAACTCAATACAGATACTTGTAAATTACTTGCGTTATATAATAACGCTATAAAGCTGCAGACATTATTGTTTCAAAAAGTATTTCGAACAAAGATGACACTAAAATGGGCAACGATGAAATGGATTTGTACAATAGATGGCCCTAACGTGTGAGATCTCCACACTGAGTAATCTCTCCTGACAACATTGGTGATTTATGGTAGTTATAACAAGTTTGAATGAAGTCGACAATGAAAGTAGCGTTAGGGCATATATATACACGACTATGGAACATAATAAATAGGTTCACTTGTCCTTATAAAAAATTTTGAGTATTTTTTAGTACTTATATTCATTCATTTAATAGATAAATAACTTACCTATTGCAGATATTTATTGGATAAAGATTAGATACTTTATCCGATACTATTTTTATAATTAATGTTAAAGTTTAACATACAAGTGGCACATACTCCACATTGTACTAAATTTTTTTAATTAATGGACATAATATTATTTGATTTCAAAAGAGAGAAAATAAATAAATTATTATTATATATTTAAGATTATTAAATAATATTAAATTAATAATTACTTGTAGTTGGTTAGTTTAAAAGCCTTTTTATATACAAAACTATTAATTTTGAAGGGGTACTAAATTTTAAGTATCCTCCTCATTTTTAAAATATTATACCCAACATGAATTTATATAATTCATTCCCTTTACCTCACCTCCTATCTATTTTTCTCTAATTAATTAAATACAATGAAATTTTTAATATTTCATAATGTGAAAAAAGAAAAAAAAAAACTTATTAATGTGTTCCTAAGTTACAAACCACAACTATATTGCTAGTAATTCACATCGATAATTGAAAGTAAGAAATGGCTCAGACATTTCATCATTGACGGTTATACAACACTGGTGTTACATCAATACAAATTTAATGAACCTAATTTTGTTTTTTATTATTCAAATTTGCAATTAATAAATATCTGTAATCACTCTAGTTCCTGAATTACATCTAGCTCAAAGTTCATACGTCTTGCAACAACATTAGCACTTGTATCAGCTGAGGTTCTGGACTCAAAAGGATTACGAGGCACTTCTAACTTGTCTACCTCTCCTTCTAGCATTTGCATCACAGTTTTCATTGATGGGCGATGCATAGGGTGCCATTGGATGCACCAAAGTCCCACAATAGCCAGTTTTTTTGCAATTATAAAATTTCCCTCTTCATCAATAGGAATATGGATATCTCCTCCTCCTTCAAGCAAATTATGTATCCAATCAGGATATAAAACTTGAAAATTTTCTTGACTAGTATTTATGTTCTTTCTTCCTCCAACCATCTCTAGCAACAACATTCCATAACTATAGATATCAGACTTATAAGATACATTACCAAAGTTTCTAGAAAAAACTTCAGGTGCCATGTAGCCTAATGTTCCCCTAGCTACAGTCATAGACACTGTGCTTCGATTTTTGGAACATAATTTAGCTAATCCGAAGTCTGAAATTTTTGGAACAAAATTATCGTCTAATAAGACATTATGAGGATTGATGTCAAAATGAAGAATTCTATGATCACAACCTTGGTGGAGATACTCAATACCCCTGGCTATGCCTAGAGCAATTTGTTGCAATTTTTCCCATCCAAGAAAGTTTTCATTGTGGTTTGATTGGGAGATGAAATTTTGCAATGACCCATTTGGAAAAAAGTCATAAACTAAAGCACGATGAAACCCATCAGCACAGAAGCCAAGCAAACGAACCACATTGACATGGTGAATCTTGCCCATAGTTCCTACTTCATTTATGAACTCTTTTCCATCACCTTCTGTGCTATTAAGAATCTTCACAGCCACTAGAATTTCATTAGATAGTTTACCTTTGAAGACAGCTCCATGAGCTCCTTCACCTAATTTTTCTTTAAAGCGATGTGTGATCCTCTTGATATCTGCATAAGTGAATCTAGTTGGCTTCATAGCCCTATAATCTTTCAAAAAATTTTCTACTCTTGCATGATCTTCGCTTTTCATTCTATAATATCGATGTAATTGAAACAACCCATTAAGCACAAGCGCCAGCACAGTTGAACCTACGATTACACCTGCACGTTGAATATTTTATATTCAGGAAGAGTGTATCTATATAATTAAATAAAAGTTAAAATGAGTTCTTTTATGGGAAGAGATCGCCTTATTCTAAGAATAAGAATTGATTTCTTAGTTAAAATGAGATCGCCTTATTAAATTATATGAGACCTGCATAATTTTGAGATTTCGAATAAATATCAGCTATATAACAAAGAGTGGGTATACGTTTTTAGCAGTTCTTTTAGTTATGTTTATAAAAACTAAACATAAAGTTAAGCTTAAAATAAAATTGTCCTGGGTTTGCGGCACTCTGCCCCTCAAACCAAACCCCAAAATCAAAGAAGAGGAATAAAAGAGTGTCTCACCTGCAGTGACTAGAAGAGTGCTTGTAGTATGCTTCTTTTTTGATATACACTGGAAGCATCTTCTGTCAACTTTTGTTCTCTCCCAAGACAATGAAAATGTGTTTCTCCATATAGAAAAAGGGGATGCGAGGTCAAACAGTTTAGTGCATGATAACAGGTCCAATTCCACCAGGCTGTCGTGGTAGTCAGCAATATAAATGGGGCAAGATAGCAGATCTTGAGCATCATCTTGTAATTCGTAACTGTTTCTCAGATGTCTTTCCCCTACTGAAGAACAATTAAAGAAACTAATATTCCTCGGATAAATTAGAAAAGGAGAAAAAGATGAAAAATTGAGTCCAAGTAAGATTCCTGCAAGACAGTTTCCAGGGTCATATGCTTCTAATGATTGATATCTGTAATCGATGGAAGTGATGGGGAGTTTTATTGGGACAGGAAGTGCAGACAATTCAAGCATTTTCTTGTGATGTGAACAAGATACACGCACGGGACATTCAATGTTACCACTTACAAGATTCATAAGCAGAAACATTAGTAGTGCTAATGTTGTCATCATGGTTCAAAGTTGAACTGTGTTAGTGCTGTGTTATGTGTGAGATTGGTGGAGTTGGTATCTGATTCTAAATTTCTAATATATTTTGCGCATCCTCTCTTGAATGCCCGAAGGAGCCGGAAGATAGAACCAATAATTCCAAGTCAAGCCAATGCTAATAAATAAAAATGAGGTTATGTTGTTATTTTTCGTTTAAACTTTTATATAATAATTACAAATTATTAATATTATAAAATTTATAACTTTCGTCTGATATACTCTTCCAATTCTTATTTATTTGTCTTAAAAAAAATTATACAAATCTTTAACATTAACCTTATTAAAGTTTTAATTCTTAAGTGGATTAAATAATATAAATAAATATTTTTTATAAATTAGAATTAATTTATGCATTTTTATGTTAAAAATTTAATTAAAATAGAAAATTACATAAAATAATTTTCTTATAAAAAAATTATTTATTTTCTATTTTTTTATTCTATTATCGAAAGTGGGTCTAAGTCAACGCCCAATAAAATTTTCAGAGTTCTACGGGATTGAGATGCTTACATGAGAGTTTCCTTTCACATATTAAAAATTACTTTAAATTTTAATCTTAAAGATTAAAATCAATATTTTTTAAAATACTTATTTTATACAATAATAAAAATAAATTAAGGGATATAATAAAGTTATTTCTCTTGACTTTTCGGTCAAATTTTTTCAAGTCTACGTTGGCTACAAAAAGTGAGTTGGCAATAGTTGTCCTCCCAACACGATTGAAATGTTGCATAGATTATTTTTAATACATCATTATTGAAAAGCGCATAATTTAATCTAATTTAATGAATTCATAATATTAAATACTAGTTTTTTTGTGTAAACTAAAAAAATTGTTAATAAAATTATTACCATCGATTAATTTAAAATTATTATAAAAATATTTTTTACAGAAAATATTTATCAAAATTTAATAATTTTTAAAAACTATTATTATTAATTACATAAATTTACTTTTTAAAAAATAATTATAAAATTTGATAACTTTTATTGTACAAATCTTTCTAATTACTAAATAAAAAATATTTAATGTTTTTTGTATGTTTAAGATAGTGGATACATATGTTTTTATTTAATATTTGTTTTATAAAATATAAAAATAAAGTAACAGGATATAATAAAGTTATTTGGATTGACTTATTCCTCACATTTTACCAAGTCAAAGTCAATGGCTAGTGAATGTCGATACAGTTTTGTCCTTCCAAAACAATTGAATGTCTCGAAAACACATAAACGAGAGACATAAGAAACCAAACTGAGCTTTCAATTCTCAGCATCAATCGATCAATCATGTGGACACGGAAATTCTTCTCTTCACGCACTAAGGTGTTACTCTTATGGGTCTTTCAAATAATGCTGACACTACCACAACACAAGTGCGAAGCAAATAATCCCCAAACATGCGCACCTTCTTCATGCGGCAAAATCAGCAACATAAGACACCCGTTTCGGCTGAAGGGTGACCCAACAACATGCGGGGATCCCAGGTACGAGTTAGCTTGCGAAAACAACATCGCTGTGTTGCCTTTGTTTGCTGGTAAATACTATGTGCAAGCAATTCACTACAGTAACTTCACTATTCGGGTGGTGGATCCTGCTGTTCATGAGGCTAATTGTTCCTCTGTTCCTCGCTTTTTTTTATCCGCCTCCAATTTCACTGATTTCTACAACCGTTCTTCCGCCTATTCCACTACTCCTTATCAAGCTACTCGAGATACATCCCAAGGGTCTAGCATTCTATTCCAACACATAATATACTTAAATTGTAGAAATCCGGTGAAGGATCACAGATACGTGGATACTGCTCCATGCGTCAATTGGGGTTCCAAGGGCCATGCTTATGCAATTGTAGGGGACATTTTGCCTATGGATTTAAAAGTTGGTTGCCAAGTGAAGATGGCTGCTGCCACATCCGTTTTTGGTTT